CTCCATTACAACTTGGTTTACAACCAAGTGTAATGGAGGCATTAAAAAAGTTTTAATGCCTCCATTACACTTGGTTGTAAACCAAGTTGTAATGGAGGTGGGCAATGTAGCATAACCCATTAATAAAACATAAATTTACAAGTAGCTATGAAACTAGAAATTATATTAAACACACTTGCAATACTAAAATGAATCGGGGAGTGGACATAGAGGTCCAATTGCCGTCATAGAGAGTGAACCCTCTGTTCGAAGAGCAGAAGTAGGCGGGTAAGCCATCAGAATTAATCAGGTTTTCATTTTTTTAAAGTAATTATGAAAGACAACTCTGTTTTTTTTTTTTCCTTCTCTAGGTAGAATATAAGGCTCAGGGGCATCTATAACATAATCGCGACCAATACGAGTCTGTTCAAACCGAGAACATAGAAAAAGAGGTAGAAAAAAATAAAGAATACAAAACAAACAAACAAATGCATACTTGTCAATGAAGCCTCTGGGATGTCTTCGTTTAGCCACGAAACCACCAAAATTTGGTCGCCTTTGTTGTGTACAGAAAACTCCCAAGTGAAACACTTACCAAATAAGAAAAACACATACCAGAACAGATAAACGCACAAAAATTTCTCTTCATCAACACAACTCCCCAGAAATCCCCTAAATTCTTTCAAAATCAATTGATGCTTAAATTTTCAAAGCTCCAAAATTATCAAGATTTCAAAACAATCTTTAGTGTCATAGAACATCCACAAAAAATGTAGATAGTAACAAAGGGGTTTCACAAAACAACCCCACTGGAAAACCGAGATGAGAATAATAATCAACAAAACCAGAATATCATGTACAAGAGTTCCACATAAAGCAATAAATTAAATCAACATATATGTACCTAGAACTCTATATCCTGCTGAAAAAAAAGCCTCATTCATCTCTTCCAAATTCTGCATTAAAAAAGGACCCCTAAAAACCAATGAATTCATTCATAACCTAAAAACGTACAAAAACTACACCAAAACAAAGCACACGATGCAATTATTATTGCATAAATGGTAAAAGTGCAAGGACCTAACGATCGTGAAGGACAAGCAAGCACATATTATTTTAAGAGTCAGTCTGGAGCCTGTCGGTACAACCTCGGGCTTTTGAGTCTTCTCCTACACGCCGCGACTCATCGACACTCCCAACGAAAATTATGTCTCAGTTGTTGGAAATGAAAAATTTCTATTTTGCGCCGCGACTCCTTGACACTCCTGATCAAGCATGAATGAAAGGAATATATTGGTTGAAACCAAAAGTGGATGCCTTTGGAGAATAAATGAATTTGATGCTTCCTATTTGGCTTTACAGTATCCCCTTTTATTGCTCTATGTGAGGATGGGTTCAGAGAAGAAATCCCATTTTTTGATTTCAAGAAAGTAAATGAGGATGGGCGAACAATTGTAAATGTTAGAGAGTACTTTGCTTATCGGGGTCAAGATAGGAAACACGAACCATCTACTATTCTTTGCCAGAAGACTGCTTTAGCAGTTTTTTGTTGATGCATATACCATGGTTGAATCATCAAGGTTGCATTTTATACGTTACAATCAAACTCGACTACGATGTGACATATACAACAGATTAGGCTGGGGATGTTGTTCTTCGTAGAGATATCGACCCAGGATATCGAGGAAAGAGAATAATTCTTTCATCATTATTCACCGGGGGAGCTTAAAAAATGAGTCAGAAATATCAAGATGCAATACAAAATGCAGATGGGTATGTTATCCCGATTTGTTTATAACATTCACATACAACCCAAGATGGCCTTAGATTATTCGTTTCTTAGGCATGAAGAACACACAATATGAGGATCATTCTGCTATTGTTTGCAGAGTTTTTAGATCAAAATTAAAAAAATTAAGTTTGAATTTTTTGTATGAATCAAATCTTGGTCAAAGTAATAATAGATATGTTGCCTTTTATTTATAATTCATTTAAATTGAATTTGACTCCAATACTTTGCGTAATTGTTTGATATTATTTTTCTTTTATTTGTTTTTCAGTTGTATGCACCACTGAATTTCAAAAGCGCGGAATGCCTTATGCACATATACTGTTTTTTCTAGCAACGGAAAACAAGTTCCCTGATCCGTGCGACATAGATAAAATTATATCTGTCGAGATACCCTGTGAGTTATATGTTCCTTTGTATTATGAGGTTGTAAAGGAGCACATGATCCACGGTCGGTGTGGTTTGCCTCAAAAGCAGCCTCCATGCATGGTGGATGGGAAATGCAGTAAACATTTCCCAATAAAATTTCTCGAATGAACCTTATCGATGAGGATGGCTATCCGCGATACAGGTGTCGGGACAATGGAAGGCACACGAAAAAAATGGTGTAATTTTCCATAACGGTTTTGATGTGCCTTACAATCAGAAGTTATTGATGAAATATGGTGCCCACATGAATGTTGAGTGGTGCAATCAGTCTCGATCCATTAAGCACCACTTCAATATGTCAATAAAACATCCTGATGTGTCACTACATCATTCTATCAGACGATTGGGGAAGGAGAGTTAGAAAAGCCCATTGACGAGATTAACATGTTTTATGATTGTAGATATGTTTCTTGAGACATCATGAAGGTTGTTGGATTATGAACTTTAGTATAAAGTACCTTTTGTATAACGTTTTAGTTTTCATTTGAAAGATGAACATTATGCTATTTTTTTATGATGAGATCAGATTGATGAAGTTACTAGAAAATCAACTGTAAATAAGAGTTAGTTTTTGCATGGATAAAGCGAACAAGAAGTATCTTGAGGCGAGAGAGCTGGCTTATGTTGAGGTGCCGCCAAAATTTGTTTGGAACACAAAATTCATAGGTGGAGTCGTCTAATCAGATATGGTTCTATAGCTTATATATGTCATGTCCTTCCTGAAGCGGGTGTTAATTAGTATTTGAGGTGTTTGGTCAATGCAGTACGTTGAGCAACTTACCGTGAGGATTATATGAAGGTTAACGACTTTCAGTATTTGTCGTATCGTGATGCTTGCCATGCTCTTGGTTTGTTGGGTGACGATTGAGAATATTGATGTTATATCTGAGGCAAGTCAATGGGCATCTGTCGATTCTCTTAGGCGTATGTTCACATTTTTATTGGTATGTGGATCTTTAAGTAGATCTAAGCACGTATGGGAGAAGTGTTGTCATTTTCTCTCTGATGACATTCTTTACAGGCAAAGTCGTCTCTTTAATAATAAAAATATCTCTTGTTTTTTTAATGTTGTTTATATTCATTTTACGCCATCTGAAAATATTATAGTCGATGTTTAATTTATTCTCATTTAGCCTCTAT